GTGAATGACCTGCAGAGAGCTGGGACCAAAGTAACAAAGCCTACCATCAGTAACACACTACGCCGCCAGGGACTCAAATCCTGCAGTGACAGACGTGTCCCCCTGCTTAAGCCAGTACATGTCCAGGCCCGTCTGAAGTTTGCTAGAGTGCATTTGGATGATCCAGAAGAGGATTGGGAGAATGTCATATGGTCAGATGAAACCAAAATATAACTTTTTGGTAAAAACACAACTCGTCGTGTTTGGAGGACAAAGAATGCTGAGTTACATCCAAAGAACACCATACCTACTGTGAAGCATGGGGGTGGAAACATCATGCTTTGGGGCTGTTTTTCTGCAAAGGGACCAGGACGACTGATCCATGTAAAGGAAAGAATGAATGGGGCCATGTATCTTGAGATTATTAGTGAAAACCTCCTTCCATCAGCAAGGGCATTGAAGATGAAACGTGGCTGGGTCTTTCAGCATGACAATGATCCCAAACACACCGCCCGGGCAACGAAGGAGTGGCTTCGTAAGAAGCATTTCAAGGTCCTGGAGTGGCCTAGCCAGTCTCCAGATCTCAACCCCATAGAAAATCTTTGGAGGGAGTTGAAAGTCTGTGTTGCCCAGCGACAGCCCCAAAACATCACTGCTCTAGAGGAGATCTGCATGGAGGAATGGGCCAAAATACCAGCAACAGTGTGTGAAAACCTTGTGAAGACTTACAGAAAACGTTTGACCTGTGTCATTGCCAACAAAAGGTATATAAACAAAGTATTGAGAAAGTTTTGTTATTTACCAAATACTTATTTTCCACCATAATTTGCAAATAAATTCATTAAAAATCCTACAATGTGATTTTCAGGATTTTTTTTCCCTCATTTTGTCTGTCATAGTTGACGTGTACCTATGATAAATTACAGGCCTCTCATATTTTTAAGTGGGAGAACTTGCACAATTGGTGGCTGACTAAATACTTTTTTCCCCCCACTGTATATCTATATATAGAAAAATTAACTTTGAAGAATTAGATCAATTCTGAACAGGGAACAACTTGAATCCACTACTGAGATGTCATTGAACCATACAAAAGCCTGCAGGAGCTGCAGTTCGTCTTACATCATACAAATTTAGTCTAACCACAAAATAGAGAGGATTTAGGCTCAAAGCTTGAATTGGGCAGGATCGTAGACTAGCAGGTCAACTACCTCTGGATGGAGAAAACAGATGAACAGTCTAATTTAAAATGGAACATTTAAAAAGAATCCAGCCTCTCTAAACTCAAATTGCACAATTTGAGTTCGAACTCAGGCCTTCGTTGGCTACACGAGCCAAAACTCCTATCTTTTCTCTCCTTCTTCAAAATGAGAGGCAACAGTGCAACACAAGCTAATTCAACCACAGTTTTGACTGAGGTGTTGCATGAGGGTTTTTTCTACTATGATTTGCTTCCAGGTCAAAACACCACATGATTGATACGATACAAGTCTTCTACCTCTGATCCCTGACTGCTGGCAAATCGCGTTTTCAAAATCCCTGGTGCACACGCAAACAGAGCTAAGGGTCACAGTCCAGAGAAAGTTGATTCTCACACAAAGTGTGCCCATGTCATGCCCACCATAAATCAATTGTCTTACTTAAAAACACATACGCAACACGCACAGACAAACAGGACAATTGTATTCCCAAAGGAGAATTCAATCATTCTGGAAAAGAAATAACTCGGGGAAAGATACCTTTGGTTTGGATTATTTTATTGTCCTCTAATTATGTCAAATGAAAGAAGAATCATTAGCTACAGTGACATATTTTGACATAGTATGTTTTTTTTAAAGGACTGGTCCATTTGCTAGGCAATATGCAGGAGTTGAGCAACAACAACAAACATTTGGCCAAAGGGCAACACGCACAGGGAGCAACCAACCAGGACGAAGTACCTTTTTTCAGCCTTTCCTTTTTGGGAGCAGGAACTTTTACATCTAACATACACACAAAACAAAAAATGAAATTAGAGACAGCATGGACCATGTCGGAGGGGACTGTACGTGCCAATTTCAAAGAGTGCACTGTGCATCATACTGCCAATTTAACACAATCGCTCAATCAATATCAAACAGAAACCAGTCACTCATTCCTGTCATGATCCTCTCCTGTACAAAAATGCATAAAATACTTCATCGATGCCCATAACCGTTGATAGTGACCATGCTTGTAGATCATAGACACTACACATAAGAGTTCAATCAACATATTTATTCGATAGACAGACGTTTAAACTACCTCACAACATAAACAAAATGCAGTGTTCAGATATTTTATGTCAAGATATTAACAGGCTTACATCTTGCAATATGCCTACTTAAAATAGCTGTTTCATAAAATGGCCTAAACTGGCCAATTGTCCCTCCAGTCTGAAACAGAAATACACCCCTCTTAGTCACCATGACCTTCGGTAAATAAAAACTGAAAACAGTCTGAAACCCCTCCGTAAATACTTAGCCCACATGACCACAAGTCAACGTGGACGACATTCCTAAACTCTGGGGTCCAGGCTGACCTTTATGGGGCTGTTTGGCAAGAGATGGGTGAACGTTTGGATTGAAGATAAGTTCCCATAATAGCATGGTGGTATATTAGCAGTTATAGTTTAACAAACATTTGCAACAAACAGAAGTATCAAAACATTAGTTGCACATTCAGAGAATAGGCCCCCGCTCAAGTATTCATTCCCATTGCATCATTCCAACAACACACTCAGTGTTTTCACTTCCCATATGTAAGCCTAATACCATGGAGTCATGGGAATTTAGGCACATCAGTCTTCCTAGACCTACTTCTGGGAAAAGAGAGGCGACTGCTAGACTTAGGACAGACAATGCAAATAGATACAGCACGCTTTGGATTAAGTTTACATTACTACCAGCACAACAAGCTAATTAAACAAAGGTGATCATCACTGACGTCATCTGTTATAGAGTATAAAAACTGCATGAAATGCAGTATCTAACATTGCTTTGCTTAAAAGCTACATGACATCATATTTCTTTGCTAATTAAACTAGGAGTCACCTGAACTGCAACATCCAACGTTATCAGAAGCCTGAACAGTGTTATGCGGATGGTTATATAGATAGAATAAATGGAAATAGCTCATTACAGTAAAAGGAATTACTGTAAGGCTTAAGAGTATAGATTAAGTGATTCATTTACATTTAAAAAATGTATTACAACTAAACGCGAAACAGTTTAACTGGCAAAATGAAAAGATTAGAATAGCACAAAGGATTAATTCAGGCCAGAACACAGATGAGCAAAGAATTAGTGCATCACAAAGACGGTGAGAAGGACAGATTGCAGAATCTTTGAAAAAGTGCAAAGCATAGTCCCAAAAGTCCAGGTCAATATTCCCAATGGCAAGCGCCATCGCAGCAAGGCCAAAGTCGAGGAGGACAAAAACATAATATCCTTTTCTCAGACACACTGTCCTTCCTTTGACAGGACCAGCGCCAGATTCAACTTCCTCCAGTTACAGTTGGGGGGGGGGGGGGGGGGGGGGGGGGGGGTGACCTTTGACCTCACCCAGTAGACTAGTCTCGTTCTGCTCCTCATGGATGGCAGGCTAGGAGACGAACGCTCAGGAGCTTTTGGCTATTGATCCTGTAGGTCTAATATAACGCCCTGAACCCCACCGTCGTTCTGGGACGTACCATCCTCCTCCTCTGCTCTCTGACTCTCTGGATCCTTCTCTACGGGAGGTGTGATCACGTCATAGAGAAACGTGAAGAAGCCGTAAAACCAATCAGAGCCCTCCTCGGCTAAAATACCGAAGATTTCCTCTAGGGAATCTGCGTTTTCATTAGTAATTTCACCGCCATCTTTGGTCAAGCCTGACAAGAGAGAGAGAGGAGAAAAACAAAGGGAAGGGAAGAGGAGCGAGAGGAGCGAGAGAGAGAGAGAGAGAGAGAGAGAGAGAGAGAGAGAGAGGAGAGAGAGAGAGAGAGAGAGAGAGAGAGAGATAGCGAGAGGGATAGAAGACTGACGAGCTGATCGAGACTGAGATCTCGGAAGCTCGACTAGGGACTCGAATCTTCTAAGAGAGAATAAGAGCAAGAAAGAGTAGAGATAGAATCAGAGAGACGAGAGAAGAGTGAGGACGAGAGAGAGAGACGGCGAGATATCTAGAGGTGAAGAGAGAAGCGATAGCATAGAGAAGCAAGAGAGAGATAGAAGCGCAGAGAGAGAGAGAGAAGATAGAGTATAGAGGAGAGATAGCGAGAGAGAAGAGAGAGAGAGAGAATGAGGAAGAGGCGAGAGGTGAGAAGGAGAGAGAGGGAGGAGCAGAGAGAGGAGTGGATAGAGGGGAAAGAGAGTACTCAAGAGGAGAGAGAGGGACCGAGAATTAGAAAGAGAGGTGCAACAAAATACCCTCTTTAATAGTTGAGAATAGCTCTCTCGAAGTGCAGAATTACGAAAGGTCGTTGCCAACTATGCTCAGGGATTGTTGTCGGTAAGGTACAGTCATGTGTTCTGGTCTTTGATTGGTTAAGACTTTATTAGTCCCTTTATTTGTTAGGATACAAAAGACAAGAGCTATTAGGCTAGGCATTGTGTGAAATGGGAAGTGTCAATAATAAGCCAGTATTTTAGATACTGTACATGCAGCAGGTGAACAACGTTGCAATATTGTTGGTTTTCAGCGCAACTGCACTACAGAAATGTAGATTGTTGTTGCAATGGTTGTTGGAGTTAAATAACGCTGTGTAGATGCTGCCAGAGGACTTCAAGCTCTTTTGAGCCGCATACTAAACTAAATAGCTACTTCTGAACAACAGGAGTACTTACATGGAACTATTTGTTTATGTGAAGTTTTAGTACCGATTCATAGGGAAGTTAACAAAGATTGGTTTTTTTTAAAGCCACACACTTGGGTTTTTCCAATTGAAGTAAGCTCATGGCACTGGTACTCAAACACAATAAAACCAAGTCAGTCATGCATGAGTAACATTTTAGAGATCACTATTAGAAAATGCACTTGCCGAGTAGTACTTTGGCGTCCTCCACATCGAAGTCGCCATCGCCATCTGCGTCATACGCTGAAAGTTTACCTGCAAAAAGGGAATAGTCTTAAAGTCATGTCATAAAAAAATGTCCACAAATAAGCCTGTTCTTGGCCTTTCCATCAAAATCATTGCGAGGGGGGGTTGACTCAGAAAATACCAGTCTAAGGGACATACACTTCCTCTGTAATTACAAACAGTTAATAGGTCATTGTGATTGTTTTAAATGTGATCCTCCTGGTTTTAGTGATACTTCACTACTTGCCAATGAAGTCATACTATGGTGTTCAGAGTGGAACCGTATCTTATCTACAGCTCAGCTCTGAATTTCTTCTGCATTTCTGAGAGGGAAGTTGTGGTCATGGTGATACTGCTGACCTGCAGTCACTAGCTCTCCCACAGCCAGATTGATGTAGCCAACAGCCCCATGGATAGAACGCTAGTCTGTCACAGGACCTTGATGAAATCAAGCTATACCTTCAACAACCCCATGGATAGGACGCTAGTCTGTCACAGGACCTTGATGAAATCAAGCTATACCTTCAACAACCCCATGGATAGGACGCTAGTCTGTCACAGGACCTTGATGAAATCAAGCTATACCTTCAACAACCCCATGGATAGGACGCTAGTCTGTCACAGGACCTTGATGAAATCAAGCTATACCTTCAACAACCCCATGGATAGGACGCTAGTCTGTCACAGGACCTTGATGAAATCAAGCTATACCTTCAACAACCCCATGGATAGGACGCTAGTCTGTCACAGGACCTTGATGAAATCAAGCTATACCTTCAACAACCCCATGGATAGAACGCTAGTCTGTCACAGGACCTTGATGAAATCAAGCTATACCTTCAACAACCCCATGGATAGGACGCTAGTCTGTCACAGGACCTTGATGAAATCAAGCTATACCTTCAACAATCCCATGGATAGAACGCTAGTCTGTCACAGGACCTTGATGAAATCAAGCTATACCTTCAACAACCCCATGGATAGAACGCTAGTCTGTCAAAGGACCTTGATGAAATGAAGCTATACCTTCAATCCAAACAATTTGCTTCTTCAAAATCAGATATGAGAAATAAAACATTTAGTATGAGTCAAATAAATAAAAGGGACAAGTAAAGAGAAGCCATGCAACATAATATATATATATATATGCCATTTAGCAGACTCTTATCTAAAGTGACTTACAGTCATGTGTGCATACATTTTCGTATGGGTGTTCCCAGAGGGAACATCAGCAAGCTAAGACAAGTGCATACTGCTAAATCATTATTTTGAGGCATATTATAACGTAACCTATTCAAAACTAATAACCGATAGAACTGAAGGTATTTTTGTGAAGTATGATGCTTGAATTGTTTGGTGATACATGCAAGTAAAGACCATACCTTGTAAAACCTCTGAAAAGTTATAACGGAATTCCTTTGCTCTCTCTAAAAAGACACACACACAGGAGCAGTTTGTTTATAGGGGCATCATCAAGATCAAAAGTTCATGGAACAGTAACAGTGTCAATATTACGTCACGTTACACATATTCAATACACATTCTTTTTTTTTCTCTTTTTTTTACAAAAACTATTACTAATTTCAGTAGGAATTCCTCTTTCCCCTTAATTTTCTTCTTCATAAGGTGCCTGAAATGTGTTTATTTCTAAACCACATACAACATTTCAGTTCCTGTATTATTCAGAGAAGGCATTAAGTGCAGTTCTCATGCACCTACAGAAAGGTTTGTGGTCAGAACATCATCTAGAGGGTATTACTCAATTTAGGCTAAACATTGCAGGTTGAAATGTAGCATACAAACAGCCCAATGCCCTACATTCTACAGATATAACTTATTTCTTATGTTATTGTAAGACAATAAGAGGCAATAGTTTACTTAATTTACAGCCTGCAGATAGTTACTTAGAAATAACTTCTGTACACTTTGTTTTCTTTGAGATTCATTGACATACGTGTCACTACCATTTGGTAGTTAGTAGTTACCAATAGTGTGTAATTCTTTGAGGTGAGTATTGTAACACACAAAGTTCCTTTGTTAATAACATGTCAATACCAAGTACCAGCTTAAACCGGGCTGTAAAATAAAGCATTACTATTTATCATAGGGATGAGGGGAGGTCAGGTGACTCACCGATGACGTTGTCGTAGTCCACCAGGTCAAACCACACCACGGCCACTGAGCTCCACACCCCCAGCAGAGCCAGCACCATGAACCAGGTGAAGATCTTTGTGCCGCTAAAACCACCAGCACCACCACCACCCCCACTAGCAGCAGTCTCCATTTTCACGCCATTCTTATTCACCACTGCTGCGGGCTTCACCTCTGGAAAAGAAAGGACAAAATGAGTATGTTAGTCATTCTGACTGGAGCACAGGCTACCGGGACATATCTCAGTCACTCTGACTGGAGCACAGGCTACCGGGACATACAGTGCCTTGCAAAAGTATTCAGACCCCTTGGATTTCTACACATTTTGTTGTGTTACAAAGTGGTATTAAAATGGATTTCATTGTAATGTTTTCTCAACAATCTACACAAAATATTCTGTCATGTGGAAGTGGAAGATTTAACATACAGTGGGGAAAAAAAGTATTTAGTCAGCCACCAATTGTGCAAGTTCTCCCACTTAAAAAGATGAGAGAGGCCTGTAATTTTCATCATAGGTACACGTCAACTATGACAGACAAATTGAGAAAATAAAATCCTGAAAATCACATTGTAGGATTTTTTATGAATTTATTTGCAAATTATGGTGGAAAATAAGTATTTGGTCACCTACAAACAAGCAAGATTTCTGGCTCTCACAGACCTGTAACTTCTTCTTTAAGAGGCTCCTCTGTCCTCCACTCGTTACCTGTATTAATGGCACCTGTTTGAACTTGTTATCAGTATAAAAGACACCTGTCCACAACCTCAAACAGTCACACTCCAAACTCCACTATGGCCAAGACCAAAGAGCTGTCAAAGGACACCAGAAACAAAATTGTAGACCTGCACCAGGCTGGGAAGACTGAATCTGCAATAGGTAAGCAGCTTGGTTTGAAGAAATCAACTGTGGGAGCAATTATTAGGAAATGGAAGACATACAAGACCACTGATAATCTCCCTCGATCTGGGGCTCCACGCAAGATCTCACCCCGTGGGATCAAAATGATCACAAGAATGGTGAGCAAAAATCCCAGAACCACACAGGGGGACCTAGTGAATGACCTGCAGAGAGCTGGGACCAAAGTAACAAAGCCTACCATCAGTAACACACTACGCCGCCAGGGACTCAAATCCTGCAGTGCAAGACGTGCCCCCCTGCTTAAGCCAGTACATGTCCAGGCCCGTCTGAAGTTTGCTAGAGTGCATTTGGATGATCCAGAAGAGGATTGGGAGAATGTCATATGGTCAGATGAAACCAAAATATAACTTTTTGGTAAAAACTCAACTCGTCGTGTTTGGAGGACGAAGAATGCTGAGTTGCATCCAAAGAACACCATACCTACTGTGAAGCATGGGGGTGGAAACATCATGCTTTGGGGCTGTTTTTCTGCAAAGGGACAAGGACGACTGATCCGTGTAAAGGAAAGAATGAATAGGGACATGTATCATGAGATTTTGAGTGAAAACCTCCTTTCATCAGCAAGGGCATTGAAGATGAAACGTGGCTGAGTCTTTCAGCATGACAATGATCCCAAACACACCGCCCGGGCAATGAAGGAGTGGCTTCGTAAGAAGCATTTCAAGGTCCTGGAGTGGCCTAGCCAGTCTCCAGATCTCAACCCCATAGAAAATCTTTGGAGGGAGTTGAAAGTCTGTGTTGCCCAGCGACAGCCCCAAAACATCACTGCTCTAGAAGAGATCTGCATGGAGGAATGGGCCAAAATACCAGCAATAGTGTGTGAAGACTTACAGAAAACGTTTGACCTGTGTCATTGCCAACAAAGGGTATATAACAAAGTATTGAGAAACTTTTGTTATTGACCAAATACTTATTTTCCACCATAATTTGCAAATAAATTCATTAAAAATCCTACAATGTGATTTTCTGGATTTTTTTTTCTCATTTTGTCTGTCATAGTTGACGTGTACCTATGATGAAAATTACAGGCCTCTCTCATCTTTTTAAGTGGGAGAACTTGCACAATTGGTGGCTGACTAAATACTTTTTTCCCCCACTGTATTTCTTTGAACAACTAATAAAAATGTAAGTCGTTGCATAAGTATTCAGCTCCCTGAGTCAATACATGTTAGAAACACCTTTGGCATCGATTACAGCTTTGAGTCTTCTTGGGGAAGTCTATAAGAGCTTTGCACACCTTGATTGTGGAATATTTGCCCATTATTCTTTTTAAAAATGTTGAACTGTCAAGATGCTGGGGATCATGGATAAACAGCTATTTTCAGGTCTTGCCATAGATTTAAGTCAAAAATGTAACTTGGCCACAAAGGAACATTGTCTTCTTGGTAAACAACTCCAGTGTAGATTTGGCCTTGTATTGTAGGTTATTGTCCTGCTGAAAGGTGAATTCCTCTCCCAGTGTCTGGTGTAAAGCAGACTGAAGCAGGTTTTCCTCTAGGATTTTTCCTGTGCATAGCTCCATCCCGTTTCTTTTTATCCTGAAAAACTCTCCAGTACTTGCCGATGTCAAGCATACCCATACCATGATGCAGCCACCACCAAGCTTGAAAATATGGAGGCAGTTACTCACTCAGTGATGTGTTGGATTTGCCCCAAACATAAGGCTTTGCATTCAGGCCAAACAGTGTGTTCTTGCACTGGCTCAATGCACACTCACTAGACTCTACCCACACACACTACAGACAGTACCCCTACCCCACATGTACACACTGTATTACCTCAACTACCTCGTACCCCTGCACATTGACTCAGTACCGGCGCTCCTTGTATATAGCCTCGTTATTATTTTGTGTGACTATTTTCTTTTTTGCAAATTTTTCTTACTTTTTAACTCAGCATTGTTGGGAATGGGCTTGTAAGTAAGCATTCCATGGTAAAGTTTACACCTGTTGTATTCGGTGCATTTGACCAATACAAATTGATTTGATTCCATTGCAGTGTTATTTTGCAGTATTACTTTATTGCCTTGTTACATACATAAGCATGTTTTGGAATGCTTTCTGTATATTTGTATTCTTCCATTCACTCTGTCATTTAGGTCATTATTGTGGAGTCACTACAATGTTGTTGATCGATCCTCAGAGTCCTCCCGTTTCCTCCCACTGAACTCTGTAGCCGTTTTAAAATCACCAATGGGCTCATGGTAACATCCCTGAGCAGTTTCATTCCTGTCCTGCAGCTCAGTTCAGAAGGACGATTCATGTCAACCCCTATTATTTGTGAGTCCATGTAACTTATCTGATTTGTTAAGCCAAACGTTATTTCTGAACTAATTTAGGCTTCCCTAAACAAAAGGGCAGAATACTTATGCAACAACTATATTTTAGTTATGAATTTTTTATGCACTTTTTTCTTCCACTTTGACATTAGAGTATTTTGTATACATTGTTAATCCCACTTCGTAACACAATAAAATGTGAAGGAATCCAAAAGGGTCTGAATACTTTTGCAACTATTCAGACCCCTTGACTTTTTCCACATTTCGTTATCGCATTATTCTAAAATGGTTTACATTAGTTTTTTTCCTCATCAATCTACACACAATATCCCATAATGACAAAGCAAAAACAGGTTTTTAGAATTTTTTGCACATTTATAGAAATACCTTATTTACATAAGTATTAAGAACCTTTGCTATGAGACTCAAAATTGAGCTCCGGTGCATCCTGTTTCCATTGATCATCCTTGACATGTTTCTACAACTTGATTGGAGTCCACCTGTGGTAAATTCAATTGATTGGACATGATTTGGAAAGGCACACACACCTGTCTATATAAGGTCCCACAGTTGTCGGTACATGTCAGAGCAAAAACCAAGCCATGAGGTTGAAGGAATTATCCGTAGAGCTCCGAGACAGGATTGTGTCGAGGCACAGATCTGGGGAAGGGTACCTTCATTGAAGGTCCCAAAGAACACAGTGGCTTCCATCATTCTTAAATGGAAGAATTTGGAATCACCAAGACTCTTCATAGAGCTGACCGCTCGGCCAAACTGAGCAATCGGGGGAGAAGGGCCTTGGTCAGGGAGGTGACCAAAAAGCCGATGGTCACTCTGACAGAGCTCCAGAGTTCCTCTGTGGAGATAGGAGAACCTCCCAGAAGGACAACCATCTCTGCAGCACTCCACCAATCAGGCCTTTATGGTAGAGTGGCCAAACGGAAGCCACTCCTCAGTAAAAACCACATGACAGCCCGCTTGGAGTTTGCCTAAAGGTCTCTCACACCATGAGAAACAAGATTCTCTGGTCTGATGAAACTCATTGGCCTGAATCCCAAGCTTCACGTCTGGAGGAAACCTGGCACCATCCCTACGGTAAGCATGGTGGTGGCAGCGTCATGCTGTGGGGATGTTTTTCAGTGGCAGGGACTGGGAGACTAGTCAGGATCGAGGGAAAGATGAACAGACGAAAGTACAGAGAGATCCTTGATGAAAACCTGCTCCAGAGCGCTCAGGACCTCAGAATGGGGCGAAGGTTCACCTACCAACAGGACAATGACCCTAAGCACACAGCCAAGGCAACGCAGGAGTGGCTTCAGGACAAGTCTCTGAATGTCCTTGAGTGGCCCAGCTAGTACAGTTTGCCGGACAGTAGCAGAAGGAACAGTCTATGGCTTGGGTGGCTGGAGTCTTTGGCAATTTTTCTGGCCTTCCTCTGACACCGCCTGTTATAGAGGTCCTGGATGGCAGGGAGCTCTGCCCCAGTGATGTACTGGGCTGTCTGCACCACCCTCTGTAGCGCCTTGCGGTCAAGGGCGGTGCTATTGCCATACCAAGCGGTGATGCAGCCAGTCAAGATGATCTCGACTGTGCAGCTGTAGAACCTTTTGAGGATCCGAGGTCCCATGCCAAATCTTTTCAGCCTCCTGATGGGCAAGAGGTGCTGCCGTGCCCTCTTCACGACTGTGTTGGTGTGTGTGGACCATGTTAAGTCCTTAGTGTTGTGGACGCCAAGGAACTTGAAGCTCTCGACCCACTCGATAGGGGGTGTGCTCTGCCCTCTTTCTTCTATAGTCCGTGATCAGCTCCTTGGTCTGACATTGAGTGAGAGGTTGTGGTCCTGGCACCACACTGATACGTCTCTGACCTCCTCCCTATAGGCAGACTCATCACCGTCGTTGATCAGGCCTACCACCGTCGTGTCGTCAGCAAACTTGATGATGGTGTTGAAGTCGTGCGTGACCACGCAGTCATGGGTGAACAGGGAGTACAGGAGGGGACTGAGCATGCACCCCTGAGGTACTAGGGGTGTAGTTGGACAAAACGTAATGTTTTATTTTTATTGGCCAGTCTGAGATATGTTTTTTTCTTTGCAACTCTGCCTAGAAGGTCAGCATCCCAGAGTCGCCTCTTCCCTGTTGACGTTGAGACTGGTGTTTACGGGTACTATTTAATGAAGCTGCCAGTTGAGGACCTGTGAGGCATCTGTTTTTCAAAATAGACACTAATATATTTGTCCTCTTGCTCAGTTGTGCACGGGGCCTCCCACTCCTCTTTCCATTCTGGTTAGAGCCAGTTTGCGCGGTTCTGTGAAGGGACTAGTACACAGCGTTGTACGAGATCTTCAGTTTCTTGGCAATTTCTAGCATGGAATAGCCTTCATTTCTCAGAACAAGAAAAGACTGATGAGTTTCAGAAGAAAGTGCTTTGTTTCTGGCCATTTTGAGCCTGTAATCGAACCCACAATTGCTGATGCTCCAGATACTCAACTAGTCTCAAGAAGGCCAGTTTTATTGCTTCTTTAATAAGCACAACAGTTTACAGCTCTGCTAACATAATTGCAAAAGGGTTTTCTAATGATCAATTAGCCTTTTAAAATGATAAACTTGGATTAGCAAACACAACGTGCCATTGGAACACAGGACTGATGGTTTCTGATAATGGGCCTCTGTACGCCTATGTAGATATTCCATTAAAAATCAGTCGTTTCCAGCTACAATATTAACAATGTCTACACTGTATTTCTGATCAATTTGCTGTTATTTTAATGGACAAAAAGAAAATGCTTTTCTTTCGAAAACAAGGAAATTTCTAAGTGACCCCAAACTTTTGAACGGTAGTATATATATATATATATATATATATATATATATATATATATATATATATATATATATATATATATATATATATATATATACACACACAGTTGAAGTCGGAAGTTTACATACACTTAGGTTGGAGTCATTAAAACTCGTTTTTCAACCACTCCACAAATTTCTTGTTAACAAACTATAGTTTTGGCAAGTTGGTTAGGACATCTACTTTGTGCATGACACAAGTAATTTTTCCAACAATTATTTACAGACAGATTATTTCACTTATAATTCACTGTATCACAATTCCAGTGGGTCAGAAGTTTACATACACTAAGTTGACTGTGCCTTTAAACAGCTTGGAAAATTCCAGAAAATGATGTCATGGCTTTAGAAGCTTCTGATAGGCTAATTGACATCAATTGAGTCAATTGGAGGTGTACCTGTGGATCTATTTCAAGGCCTACCTTCAAACTCAGTGCCTCTTTGCTTGACATCATGGGAAAATCAAAAGAAATCAGCCTCAGAAAAAAAGTTGTACACCTCCACAAGCCTGGTTCATCCTTGGGCGCAATTTCCAAACGCCTGAAGGTACCACGTTCATCTGTACAAACAATAGTACGTAACTATAAACACCATGGGACCACGCAGCCATAATACCGCTCAGGAAGGAGACACGTTCTGTCTCCTACAGATGAACGTACTGCTGCGAATCAATCCCAGAACATCAGCAAAGGACCTTGTGAAGATGCTGGAGGAAACAGGTACAAAAGTATCTACAGTGGGGAGAACAAGTATTTGATACACTGCTGATTTTGCAGGTTTTCCTACTTACAAAGCATGTAGAGGTCTGTAATTTTTATCATAGGTACACTTCAACTGTGAGAGACGGAATCTAAAACAAAAATCCAGAAAATCACATTGTATGATTTTTAAGTAATTAATTTGCATTTTGCATTGCAATACTTGTTCTCCCCACTGTTTATCCACAGTAAAACGAGTACTATTTCCATTGTTATGTTTGGAGGAAAAAGGGGGTTGCTTGCAAGCTGAAGAACACCATCCCAACCGTGAAGCATGGGGGTGGCAGGATCATGCTGTGGGGGTGCTTTGCTGCAGGAGGGACTGGTGCACTTCACAAAATAGATGGCATCATGAGGAAGGAAAATTACGTGGATATATTGAAGCAACATCTCAAGACATCAGTCAGGAAGTTAAAGCTTGGTCGCAAATGGGCCTTCCAAATGGACAATGACCCCAAGCATACTTCCAAGGTTGTGGCAAAATGGCTTAAGGACAACAAAGTCAAGATATTGGTGTGGCCATCACACAGCCCTGACCTCAATCCTATAGAAAATGTGTGGGCAGAACTGAAAAAGTGTGTGCGAGCAAGGAGGCCTACAAACCTGACTCAGTTACACCAGCTCTGTCAGGAGGAATGGGCCAAAATTCACCCAACTTATTGTGGGAAGCTTGTGGAAGGCTACCCAAAACATTTGACCCAAGTTAAACAATTTAAAGGTAATGCTACCAAATACTAATTGAGTGTATGTAAACTTCTGACCCACCGGGAATGTGATGAAAGAAATAAAACCTGAAATAAATAATTCTCTCTACTATTATTCTGACATTTCACATTCTTAAAATAAAGTGGTGATCCTAACTGACCTAAGACAGGGAATTCTTACTAGGATTAAATGTCAGGAATTGTGAAAAACAGAGTTTAAATGTATTTGGCTAAGGTGTGTGTGTGTATGTATATATATATATATATATATATATAATAAATAAATGACAGTGGAGGCTGCTGAGGGGATGACAGCTCATAATAATGTCTGGAACGGCGACGGAAACCATGTGTTTGATGCATTTGATAACACTCCACCTACTCTGCTCCAGACATTACCATGAGCCCATCTTCCCCAATTAAGGTGCTACCAACCTCCTGTGATATAAGACTTCAAAGTTAGTTTACAACGCTACCCATTTAGAATAAGTTGCTGGCCAAGGTTGCTCTGTCGACTACCTTTTGTAATTACTGCAGACACTCGTCATATCAGACAATGCTCTGTTAACCAGAATAATGCAGTTCCTCATTCTAGTCTATTCCATATTATAAACTGGGTGGTTCGAGCCCTGAATGCTGATTGGCTGGAAGTCGTGGTATATCAAACCGTATACCACGGGTATGACAAAACATTTATTTTTACATTGGTAACCAGTTTATAATAGCAATAACGCACCTCGGGAGTTTGTGGTATATGGCCAATATACCACGGCTAAGGGCTGTATCCAGGGACTCCGCGTTGCATCGTGCATAAGAACAGCCCTTAGCCGTGGTGTATTGGCCATATACCACACCCCCTCGGACCTTATTGCTTAATTATTGTTTAATGGCACCACACTGTAGGTTACCATTCAACACTTCTGAATGAAGCAGTTAAGCAGAATCATTAGCCTACCATTTATAAATTCCCTTGACCCTACCTATGATTTCTTCAGCCAATATGGCTTCTTCACAGATAGGTTCCTCCATCAGGGCAGATGAAGTGGGATTCACGATGAGCGAACTCCTCGATTTTTCCCAGTTTAATAACAAATCTCTCCTGCCTGAATGAGGCGCAGAGTGGCCACTTGGTCAGCTGGAACTCGATCCTGGCCAAACTAGCCCATGAGACTCTTTTTTTAGAGCCGTCAAACAAATATGGGGAGGGCATGCCGTGTGTGTGAGACACTACTCTGCCATAGCCAGACAGGACAGAAGGGGGACTGTGAGGAACAAGGGGCGCACAAAGACATTGCAGCAGAGTTGGCACGTGTCCCAACAGACAATGTAACAACATGACAGTGGCCTTTTGAAATGTCTTCAACGGTCTTTAGAGAAGATCTGCTGCAGAGGTTGAACTTCTCTTGAATTTTGAGCACATTGCACAACAACAATTAGAGATTGCTGTAAACAATGTTTTAAAAAGGTTGCTTAATGTGTGTGAAGGAGCAGCTCATGAATAGTCTGGCACACCCATTCTGGTGCTGGAGTAGTGTTTTATTGGCATACAAACTTCCAACCATTTAACCTAGTCTAAATATGTTGATACCATACCTTTAGGGAGGACACTGTGCAATACATGGCACTCTCGACTGCTTCCAACAATGGGGCACTTAATACGCAAGTTGCCATGATATAGATCAATGCAATTTGAAAACTCACAGTCATCATTACACATGCAGTCTTCTACAATGAAGAGCAAGATGTGCCGCTCTGTTCTGGGCCAGCTGCAGCTTAATTAGGTCTTTCTCAGCAGCACTTGACCACATGGCTGGACAATAATCAAGATAAGACAAAACTAGAGCCTGCAGGACTTGCTTTGTGGAGTGAGGTGTCAAAAAAGCAGAGCATCTCTTTATTACGGACAGACCTCTCCCTATCTTTACAACCATTCAATCTATTTCACATCTGCCACGATGATCCTCAAAACGTGGGCACCTCAGGGGTGCGCGCTCAGTCCCCTCCTCTACTCCCTGTTCACCCATGACTGCATGGCCAGGCACGACTCCAACACCATCATTAGTTTGCCGACGACACAACAGTGGTAGGCCTGATCACCGACAACGATGAGACAGCCTATAGGGAGGTCAGAGACCGGTCTGTGTGGTGCCAGGACAACAGCCTCTCCCTCAATGTGATCTAGACAAAGGAGATGATTGTGGACTACAGGAAAAAAAAGAGGACCGAGCACGCCCCATTCTCATCGACGGGGCTGTAGTGGAGCAGGTTGAGAGCTTCAAGTTCCTTGGTGTCCACATCACCAACAAACTATCATGGTCCAAAAACACCAAGACAGTCGTGAAGAGGGCACGACAAAGCCTATTCTCCCTCAGAAGACTGACAAAATTTGGCATGAGTCATCAGATCCTCAAAAAATTATACAGTTGCACCATCGAGAGCATCCTGACTGGTTGCATCACTGCCTGGTATGGCAACTGCTCAGCCTCCGACCGCAAGGCACTACAAGGGTAGTCCAGTACATCACTGGGGCCAAGCTTCCTGCCTTCCAGGACCTCTATACCAGGTGGTGTCAGAGGAAGGCCCTAAAAAATGTCAAAGACTCCAGCCACCCTAGTCATAGACTGTTCTCTCTGCTACCGCACGGCAAGCGGTACCGGAGTGCCAAGTCTAGGTCCAAAAGGCTTCTTAACAGCTTCTACCCCCAAGCCATAAGACTCCTGAACAGCTAATCAAATGGCTACCTGGACTATTTGCATTGTTCACCCCCCACCCCCTCTTTTACGCTGCTGCTACTCTCTGTTTATTATCTATGCATAGTCACTTTACCTCTACCCGCATGTACATATTACCTCAATTACCTTGACTATCCTGTCCCCCCCCACATTGACTCTGTACCAGTACACCCTGTATATAGCCTCGCTACTGATATTTTACTGCTGCTCTTTAATGATTTATATATCCATTTTTTACTTAACACTTATTTTTCTTAAAACTGCATTGTTGGTTACGGGCTTGTAAGTAAGCATTTCACTGTAAGGTCTACACCTGTTGTATCTGGCACATGTGACAAATACAATTTGATTTGATATGTTTTGACCATGACCGTTTACAATCTAAGGTAATGCCAAGTAATTCAGTCTCCTCAACTTGTTCAACAGCCACACCATTCATTACCAGATTCAGCTGAGGTCTAGAACTTAGGGAATGATTTATACCAAATACAATGTTCTTAGTTTTAGAGATGTTCAGGACCAGTTTATTACTGGCCACCCATTCCAAAACAGACAGCAACTCTTTGTTAAGGGTTTCAGTGACTTCGTTAGCTGTGGATGTGTCTATGGGATTCTGGCCCATGTTGACGCCAATGCTTCCCACAGTTGTGTCAAGTTGGCTGGATATCCTTTGGGTGGTGGACCATTCTTGATACACGAGGGAAACTGTGGAGCATGAAAAACCCAGCAGCGTTGCAGCTCTTGACACACTCAAACCCTGTGCGCCTGGCACCTACTACCATACCCCGTTCAAAGGCACTTAAATATTTTGTCTTGCCCATTCACCTTCTGAATGGCACACATACACAATGCATTTCTCAAGGCTTAAAATCCTTCATGAACCCATCTCCTCCCCTTCATCTACACTGATTTAAGTGGATATAACAAGTGACATCAATAAGGGATCATAGCTTTCACTTGGATTTACCTCGTCAGTCTATGTCATGGAAAGAGTTCCTAATGTTTTGTACACTGTATTTCAGCCATCATGACTTAAGACTATAATGACTTCCTCTAAGGCCATCGGCTAATCTTCATGTGTTTATAATAATGTAAGGTTATCGGCTAATCTTCCTTTGTGTTAACCTAATAATAATCCTATTTTTCAATAGGTGAGTGCATCAGAGTAGTAGGTCCATAAATGGCGGCCAAAGATTTCAGCAACAATCTGTCTAACAAAGGATGTTACAAAAGCATGGACCATTAAGATTAAGAACTGTCAGACATATGCAAGCCTGCAAAATGTTTCTGTAGGTGGTTGATGTTGCCTTGGCTGTTGTGACACCCTTGTGTAGATTCACTGTCTATTTGACAATAACAGCACAAACAACACATTCAGTTCACAGTATGGCAAACAGGGCCAAGCATTACATTTACATTTTACATTTTAGTGATTTAGCAGACGCTCTTATCCAAAGCGACTTACAGGAGCAATTAGGTTAAAGTGCCTTGCTCAAGGGCACATCGACAGATTTTTCACCTAGTCAGCTCGGGGATTAGAACCAGCGACCTTTCGGTTACTGGCACTACGCTCTTAACCACTAAGCTACCTGCCGCCCATTAGTAGGCTATACCTTCCTATCAGATATTACAATAACAGTGCATGCTGACTTTTTATGATAGCGTCACATGCACTGCAGTGTGACAGACGACTTCCCATGTCTTTGCACTTCTGATTGAAACCCACTTCCCATTTAGGGGGAAATACTTGGTATAAGCTAAGTCAGTTCGTGCAATGAAAACGCATTTAAAATCCATGCATTGACTTATAAGAAGGAACTGTATTATCCATAAGTCACAAGACAGGACTCTTTCACTAGTTTAGACTCAGTCCTCACTAAGACACTCTTCTTCGAAGATAATTGAAGAGGAGTAGGCTATTAGTGTGAAAATGTTAGGCAACCCTTTAAATCACACAAAATCCATTGCACAGTTAGACAGGCTTTTTACCAGATATGCGTGTCCAGGGATGGTCTGGATGTTTGACATGGTGTTCACTGGGAATATGGAATAATTTGATGACCATTCACTAAATTCCCCAGAGGCCAACATAGCATCATTCACATTCATCATCATTTGAGAAGAGAGAAACACGAAGCCTTAACCAACCACAGAAGACAAATAGCTAAACATATAAACTCCCTTCTAAATGTCGTGAAGACATTAACTAACACGCTGACACAGTGGACAACAGTGAACGTTAGCAGCGGGGCTACATTGTAACAGTCACTAGTTGCTACATTGTAGCGTTCCAAAATAGATTCTGCACAATTGGCTCGAGGAAAGAACATTATCAAAGACATTATTATTTGCCTAGTTATCGTACAGTTGCATAACTTGCTAATAAATATTTAACAAGCTAGACTTGCATAATCATTTAGCGTACGAGCTATGATTTTAGCTAGTTAGCACAGCGAAGGGTACCGACCTTTTTTGGCTTGGTTTCTGAAATTCTTCCTTGGAGCCATCGTAAGTGCACGGATGCTGACTGTTCAAAGGGTTAGAAATGTTCAAATAATTAGCCTGTAAACTCCCTTCTTGTTCCCTAAATGAATTTCTGATACCACCTTGACAGAGGTAGCTTCCTAGTGCCTACTATTCCAACAAAAAATCATGTCCTCATGGATACTGACATGCTAAAGTCCATGGTAACCAGTTTACTATTGAGTGATCTTAAATTCCGCCAGTCCACGACAGGGAATGAAATCATGGGCGGAGTTTTCAGCGGATTCGTTTTTGTTGTAATTCAACCTCTTGGACCACTACACGTTGGGAGTGCCCAGAGATTCCGCCCTGCAGCTTTTGATAACAGCAAAAACGTGGCAAGATTTTTTAAAGTGTCCACTGTCTATCGCGAAATCTTCACATAACATAAACATCAAAGGGGTTTAGGTGGCTGCTGGCTGGAAACACGAGGAGGTCCTATCCCCCCCTCATCACAATTATGTATGTTTCCTGTCACATAGGCAGTGGACCTGGGAGGGACATAGAGGGCTGTTATGTATCCAACCTGAGACAGGCGGGGATTCCTCTGCCTGGGTCCCCTGATGGGGATGCCTGCAGTATCTTATGGGGGGTCAGATCCAATGATGTATATAAACCCTGGATTGTAAATGCTATGTATTGGCCAGTGAGAGGCTTTGAAGCCACCGATCGGCCATATTGGCACCCCCCAGAAGGAGCAGTCCTCCATAGGAATAAATGAAATATTTCAATTAAATGTTTCAAGCACAAAATTACATGTATTGAAGTATTTTA